AAAAAAAAGAAAGAAAATTGTAAAATTTAGTGACTACAAGAAAATTGTCTGGGATGAAGTGAGGTGCAGTGGAAAGGACCAAAATATGCCAAAACTAACCTCACAGATGGAGGTGTTCAAGGCAAGACTGGATGTAGCACTCAATGCCCTCTTGTAGTTGGCACAGTGCTGTTTGGTCATAGGTCAAACCTATGGCAGCCTTTTCCAAAGTCTAATCACACTTTCTATGAAGAAATTTCACCTGATGTCCAACCTGAACCTCCCCTGGCACAGCTTGAGGACATTTCCTCTCATCCTGTTGCTGGTTGCCTGGGAGATCAGTGACCCCCATCTGGCTACAACCTCCTCTAATAAAAGGTCTCCTGAGCCTCCTTTTCTCCAGGCTAAACAATTGCAGCTCTTTCAGCTGCTCCTCTCAGTGAGGACTTACCCTCTAGACCCTTCACCATCTTCATTGCTCTTCTCTAGACTCACTCCAGCACCTTAATGTCCTCCCTGAATTAGGGGCCTCAAAACTGGACACAGTACATGAGGTGTGGCCTCACCAGTGGCGAGTAAAAGGGGGCAATCACTGCCCTGGTCCTGCTGGCCACACTATTGCTGATACACATTGATACATTCCTGCTCTTCATACCAGCTTGAGTGAAACTGGGCCCAAGGTAAGATGTGTCCAGCTGCTATGCACAACTGATTGGTTGGTCCTGAAAAGGCTGCTGGAGCTGTCAGCCTTCACGGTAGGCATTGCCTTTCAAATAAACAGTTTGTAAATCATTTATTTCAGAAAACTGGGCTCCTACATCAGTATTTCCTTCAGAACCTCCACATGTACAAGCATATTTAGATCTCATAAATAGTTTCTTCCATGTCCTGGTTTAGGACAAATGTGGGAGAAAACCTCCAAAGGGGGCCCCTCCAGAAAGCAAACCCACATGGCACCTTCCCCCAATTGGTTCAGGAAGGATTCTTCAGAGAGAAGTGGAAAGAACCTGTTTATTTAACAGGCACAGCACCCGCCGGCACACAAAATGAGCAATACCAGACAACACTCTTTCACTACTCTGAAAAAGATGACAAATTCAGAAAGTCTGTCTTGGGGGTGGTTGCTCTGTTATCAGCCCCTCTGGTGCTGGGGATAGCTGCTGCAGGCCACAGGGTGCAAACTCTTGGTGTTTCCCAGGTCCCAGTCTGGAGCAGGTTCGAGTGGTTCCAAGAAAGAGAAAGAAAAACCAGTCCAGGGAAAAAAATCAGACTGCTTAGCTAAACTAACTAATGAGCAGAAGCAATAGCAAGAGCAAAGCAGGAGCAAAGCAAAAAGCAAAAGCAGCGCTATGTACTGCCCTGACTCTGTGTCCCACCAGCTGTGGGGGAGCAGGCTGATAACAAAACAAAACATTCGCTCTTCAGAGCCAGTCTTGAAGGCACAGAACATCATATCCAGCATAAACAGAACAGATGACTGGGGATACAAGCATCATAACGTCACCCTGGGACATTCCATATCATGTACAAGTTACTCACACCCAAAGAAATATCAACAGCTTTCAGGGATGAAAATGTTAGCAGGCAGTAACACTTCTGCACTTACTACTTGGTTTTCACCAAGTGTATGAAACTGAAAAAAAATACACTAGAAAAAATAGTCATTCACATAATTAATAGGGTTGTTAAACAGACATGGAGCTAACAGACTTTGGGAATTACCTGGTAGTAATTTGTTTATTGAAACACTCACACCACAGTTGATTCCCTTGCATGATTTGTTAGTAGCAAAAAGGCCTGCTCTGATTTATGCACATTTTCTACTGCAGAAAGACACAAAGCACTTCAGAGTTTCCCACTTGGAAATGCAGACAATGCACTAAAAAATATCTTAAGACAGACTGCTCAGAACCCAGAGCAGAGAAGAAATACATCTTGGAAGTCTTTTTGGATTACAATTCCCTTCCTTTATTTTGATTCTAATGTGAATAACTGCTCTCAACAATATAAACCAGTCACATATCTGGAAGTATGTTCTGTGTTCATTTTTGGGCCCCTCACAACACAAAGGACATTGAGGTGTTGAGTGTGTCCAGAGAAGGGCAGTGAAGCTGGTGAAGGGTCTGGAGCACAAGTCTTATGAGGAAAAAACAGCTGGGGGAACTGGAGTTGTTCAGTCTGGAGAAAAGGAGGCTCAGGAGTGATCTTATCAGTCTCTACAACCTGAAAGCAGGTTGTACCAAGGTGGGGATCTGTCTCTTCTCCCAAGTAACAAGCCATAGGACAAGAGGAAACAGCCTCAAGTTGCACCAGGGGATGTTTAGCCAGGATATTAGGAAAGATTTCTTCACTGAAAGGGCTGTCAAGCACTGGCATGGCTCCCTGGGGAAGTGGTTGAGTCACCAACGCCAGAAGGTATCTAAAAGATACATAAATGTAGTACTTAAGGACATGGTTTAGTGGTGGACTTGGCAGTGCTGACTTAATGGTTGGAGTCAATGATCTTGGAGGTCCTTTCCAACCTAAACGGTCCTACAATTCCAATCTAAGTGTAGCAGCAAACAAAGCAAAAGCAAGTAGAATATTGAGTATCTTCAGTAAATCTGGTCTTCTTTTTCCTAATATAAAAGTACTACCCTATTATTTTCAAGTTGCACATTGGAAGTATTAAGTATTTTTTCTGAGACTACAATCCAGCCAGAATGATCACCTATCTTCTGGTAGAATTCTGGATTCTTTAATATTATTTTTAATCATCTGTGTGTCACCTACTAGCTTCACTAGCTTTTCACTATCAGAACATGAGCAGAATAATATTTATCTTCCATAGATAGAAATTTAGTCACTAGCATGGAGATATCTTACTCTTGCTGCTTAATTCTGAATTGGCCAAATCTCAACATTAGAAATGAAAACTTTTTGCAGTCAGAAGGAAAAGATGAGGATTTTGATATTGCTTATGGAGTACATCAATATAATTCTGGGGCCTTTCCTTTACCTTCTCCAGCAAACTCTATTTCCTGTTCTCCCCATATTTGTCATTGGAAGATCAAGCCAACCTCATCTTTCAATGCAAGCACCAAAAGAAGTGAGTGAATGCATCAGACAAAGATTACTTTTAACTAAGTGTAAGACATCATTTCAATGAGGACAAATAGTACAACCAGGTGATCAGAATTGCTTGTTCAAAATAACTTGAACCTTACATGTTCAGTATAATTTTATGAAAATTTTATTTATATATTATTTCTACCCAGGAAATGATACTGGCTTAAGAAGACATTATCACCCTTTTAAAATTATAGTTGTGCCAACCCAAAAAAACTGCCTCAAAAATATTGGGATGGGACAATTTGCTTTTTAATTACTAAGCAAGTACATTGAGGACAGTCAGAAAAGCGACATTCAAAACCCTTGTTAATTATCATGTGTGGTGTCATCCTACAAAAGGAAATTGAAATAATAGTATTGGAAGACATTTAGACTTTTAAATACAGTTTTTCAACTACAACTTAGGAAACAGCTTGAAAGTTAGCTATAATTTATTTGCAGGATCAGGGTGACTAGTAGCAAGTATCAGATTTTCTTATTACAAAGGGCACTGTTAACACAAAAGAATTCTAATTTTGGGCTTTTTTCAATTCAGTAATTTTTATGTCTCAAAATATTAAGGCCCTTCATTCTTTGAAAACAAGTATCTGTCAGTTTATGTGCCTTCAGCTAAAAAATTTAAATCCAACTTCTACACACTCAAGGGAGAAGAACCAGTCTAAGACCAGATTCCCCTTTTTAAGTTAAGTAAAAGGTGGCTTTCTTCACCTGAAAATCAAGAGATGTGTTCTTCAAAGGCACAATTGCTTCCCCACCTTACATAAATGCTGACAGAATGCATTTTAACCACTAGCTGCTAGAATTTTATACAGCACCTCTTGTCAGGGGGATGCTCACAGAGCCAATCTTATGTCACGGTGCTTTCCCATGCCCAAGAAGAGAAGCTTCTTGCTCTCCACCTGTGGGGACAGGGTTGCTTGGAGTGGGACTTTAGTTTGCCTGAGAGTACCCCTGAGTGGCTAGAACTTACTGATCTATATATACACAGCCATTCTCCCCATGTTCTTCTCTCCTCTGGGAGGGAGTTGTAGCAGGAATTCACAAGAATACCTGTCTGCTTTCCAGAGACTCCTCCTGGCTACCCATGGTCTCACAAAGGGAAGGGAAAGCCTCGATCACTCCCTTTATACCATCACCAGCAGCAACAAAAAGCCTGATATTTTCAGATTAAGTACAATTAATATTTAAAGCTTAACATCTTAACTACATACTTGATAGGAAATGAGTGTCTTCTGACACAGAGATGGTGGGACTGCCACACAGCTCAGGCATTTTACAGTTCTCTGGAGAGCTAAAACCAACCATCAAACCAAGAATAACCAAGCAAAAGACAGGGCTAGGCATCTCCTTTTTTACTGTATTTTATGTCATTAACTCTAAAGAAATCCTCACATTGTTTGCAATATTTTTTTAATAAGTGTCTCTCTTTATACACTCCAAAATGCATATGGAAAACTCCAGCTACCTGATACTTAAGCAAGTGCAATAGATTTTTACATTCTTTCACATATATAGTACTGCATTATGAACAATGATACTGACATTATCTTCAAATTATTTCCTTTCATCAGCTTCCTTTACCGCCTCTAAATCCTCAAATTTAAAAATTGAGGATTTGTCATAGCCCATGAGATGGTTATAATCCTGAGGATTTGGGAAAAGCGTAGGATTAACAAGCATTGACTTCGTTTTAGCGTAAAATGTTGTAAACATCTTGGAGATGTCTGGAATCTTTACATCTTTCTGATGGAAAACAGTTGCTTTTTCTGCCAAGATGGCATTGTAGGTAATGGCTGTATAGGTGTCCACTTCATCTTTATAATAGAGCCGGATCACATAACCTTTTGTAAGGAGATGCAAAGTAACCGGAGTTACAAACGTAAAAATCCCAATCAACCCATAAAAGGCACCTTGGACAAGCAAACTTTCCACTCCAATACCACTTTTGAGCATGATGTAGGGCATCATGAACAGGTTGAATATGCTGGTGGAGTAAGAGAAAAACTTCACACCTATATAAAAGGAATCAAAGAAAATAAAGGTTAACACTTATGAGCAACATTTTCTCTACAATTACCTGTATTTTTCTACCACATAACAGTGCCATTACTTGAACTGATGAAGTTAATGAAAACCCCTTTCCCTATTTTTTTAAGCTTATGGAGAAACCACTGAAAGCCCAATCTGCCTTATTGCCACTGTTCTGATTTGTTTGCACCTTCATGCTGGGTTTATCAAAGGTGGCTCTATTTCTGTGATGCAGCCAGCTATTAGCTGTTATGCTCACATATGAAGTTTTTTTCTGCCTTCACAGGCAGAAGAACTGATTTCTAATGAGACTTAACTCCATTCATGGACACATGTAATGGTGCTCATTGAAGAGATGGCAGACAGGGAATTTCTCCCCTCACCAACAACAAATGTTGACATTCAGTGTGTATTACAAAGAAGCCAGCTTGGTTGCTATGCATAAACCCTGGGTTACTAAATATTAACAAGTACTCCCCACCCATTTTCCATGTGGCTTAAAAGACAGTAGCCAGGGCTGTGGACCACCCACAGTCCTTAAATCACCCTGAAAACCAGGAGCCCAAGATGCTGTGACAAGTAAGTATGTTAGGGCACATTTCAAAAATGTGTATCAGAAAACATCCAGTGGCTTTCCCTTCACTAGGTCTTTGTAACATTCACTGGCCAAAGAAAGATTTGCAAGTCTCATTAGAGATGGAGCTCTTCATCATAGTACCTGCCTGCCTGGGAAGTGTTTCAGGAACACTTCCAAGCAGACAGAATGTAAACAGCAGTTATAGCTCATCTTTGTTGCTTACTGGGCTGGATAAGCCAACCCCAAGGGCCTCAATAGAAGCCAAAAAAGGCTAAGGGGTTACAGAGATGAACAGAGCTCTCTGCACACCCAAGCAGACAAGCAGAAACCAAGCACCACCACTACCCTTTTTTGTACATATGATCCAGATTCTGGCAAACTTGGAAAGGAGAAGACTCACTTTTAGTGTTTCATTTTAAAGTTACTAAATACTCTTAAAACAACAACAACAAAAAAGGCAATATAAACCACTTTGAGTCACATACCCAACACTGTCTTTGCCAAATTTCCTTTATAAACTAATCTTCCATGTTCAGGGTGATCATGAGGGGAGGATGTGCTGAGGCTTCGAACAGCCACTCCTTGAAAAGATGCAACCTGAAAGATGAAACCAGTACAGGGCTAAGGAACATCAGTATTACACCTTATATCTACCTATCCATGCATATACACACATATATGTACATGTATACACTCAGACAAAGTTTCTCCTTGCCCTGAACCCAGCATTTCAGCCTAACCATTTCAAACTAAGGATTAAAGTTAGGTTACACTCCAAAGCATGCCCAAAAACTCCAATTAATACGCTGCCTGACTGCTTTAGTAACTTACCATGTAAATATCCCAAATTAGCATGAAATATTTGCAACTCCATTACCGATAATTGAGGCAGCAATCACTTTACACACAGCTTTGCAGAGAGATGTTCATGGCATCTGTGCTCATCACATCTCTGATCATAAAATAATAGAATGGCCTGGGTTGAACTGGGCCTCAAAGATCATCCATTTCAACAGCCCTGTTGGGGGTAGGGACACCTTCCACTACGCCAGTTTTCTCCAAGCTCCATCCAGGCTGGCCTTAAGCACCGAGGGTTGGGGCATCCACAGCTTCTCTAGGCAACCTACTCCAGTGCATCACCCTCACAGAAAAGGATTTTTTTTCCCTAATATCTTAGATTAGCTAAATAGCTTCCTTTAGATTAGCTAAATTTACTCTCAGTTTTAATCCGTTCCCCATTGTCCTGGCACTTCATGCTCTTGTAAAAAGACCCTTTTCCCTACAGGACTTTCTTGGAGGCTCCTTTCAGGTACTGGAAGGCCACAATTAGGTCATCCCAAAGCCGGCTCTTCCCCAGGCTGAACAAACTCAATTACCCCAATCATTCACCGCTGGAGAGGTGCTACCTGCCTCCAGTCATTTTGGCGGCCTCCTCCTGACTCGTCCCCGCACGTCGATGGGGGCTCCAGAGCTGGACAAAGCACTGCAGGTGGGGTTTCACCTGAGCGTACGCCCCGAAGAACACCTCGCTTTCCTCCTCAAAATCCTCTAAGGGCAAAACTGCCAATCCCAGTCCCTTCCCGGGGGGCGGGAACGCTCCCTCCGCTCCCACAGTCCCCACAAAGTCCCCACAGCCCCCACACAGAACCTGCTGGGGCCTCGCAGCGACGGCGGCCCGGTGGCGGCAGGCGGGGTGCGCGGCGCCCCGCAGCCATGCGGAGGCGGAGGCTCGGCGGCAGGCAGCGGCGGGGACGGCCCGGAGCAGCAGCAGCGGGAGCATGGCGGGGCCGCGGCCGCACCGGGGACACGGCGGGCGGTGCCACTCTGACAGCCCCCGGCGCGCCGCCGCCGCGCCGCGCTTTGGTTCCGGCAGTAGGAGGCTCCGCGGCGCCCCCGTCAGCATGTCCCGCTCAGCCGCAGAATGCCAGAATCAGCTGGGCCGGAAAACACCTCTAAGGGCATCAAGTCCAACCAGTGGCCAACACCACCACGTCAATTGTACCATGGCATTAACCGCCACATCAAATCATCCCTTAAACACCCCCCAGAGATGGTGACTCCACCAACCTCTCTGGGCAGTCCATTCCAATATCTAACATTTCTGTGAAGAAATTCCTCCTGATGCCCACCCAGCCTGAACCTCCCCTGACACAGCTTGAGGCCATTACTTTGTGACCCCACCTATGTGACCCCAACCTCTCCTTTCAGAGAGTTGTAGATAGCCATAAGGTTTTCGCTGAGTCTTCTCTTCTCCAGGCTAAATTGCCCCAGCTCCCTCAGGTGCTCCTCATAAGGCTCGTGCGCCAGAACCTTCATCCAGCTTCGTTACCCTGCTCTGGACAGCGTCCAGCACCTCGATGCTGTGCATTAATTGAGAGGCCCAGAACCGAACACAGAACTCGAGGTGCGGCCTCATCAGCGTTGAGTACATCACTGCCCTGTTCCTGCTGGCCACACCATTCTGCACACAAGCCAAGACGCCACTGGCCTTCCTGGCCAGCCGGGCACGCGTTCGCTCATCTTCAGCTGCTGTCGGCCGACACCCCCGAACCCTGACATGGCGGGCCTGCAGATGCCCCCGAGAACTACGCGCCCCAGCATGCACCGCTCGGCGCGCACAGCATGCCGGGAGCACGGGCGCCGCACGGGCTGGGCGCGGGGGACCGGAAGCGGCCCGTGACCCGGGCGGAAGCGCTCGGAGGCAGCTGGGCCGACACCGCGGCCCTGCGAGCGGGGCGGAGGGAGCGGCGCCCACGGGTGAGGGGCGGCCGCGGGAGTGAGACCCCGCCGGGGCCGCCAGGAACACCGCGGGGGCGGGGCGCCCCGTCGGGCGGGGAGCGGGTAGCCCTGGCAGGCGGCCCCGCGGCGGGCAGCGGGCCTCGCCCCGCGCCCGGCGGAGGGGGGGGTGGGGGCCGGGCGGAGGGGCCGGAGCGGCGCCGGGGCCGTCGGGGTGCGCAGGGCGCGGTGCCAGGCCGGGGTTCTCCCACCGAGGCGGTGGCGAAAGGCGCGTTCCTACCCCAGAACGCTCTCTTTGGAATCCCGGCGCCGCCGGAAAAGGGGCTCTGGAGCAGTGCTGGGTTTGAGCATCGCTCTCAAATTCCTGCCGTAAGTGACGTTCGCCCTTTCTCTACGCCAGGCCGTAGGGAGAGGGGAAAAGTTCAGGCCGAAAGAATTTAGGATGCGCCTCCAGGGGTTGTTTTGCCAAGGTGAGACGTACTGGTTAAAGTGATTCGGCTGTATGGTCGGCGAATGTAAGCAAAGCAAAGGGTGATACCCCTACTTGTAGCGACAGAAATGAGCTTTTGAGTGCCATGTGTTCCTCAGAGGGAGGTTCTGCTTTAATACAAGGTAACCTGAGCGTCGGTAAGTTATTGAGGGCTTCACATTTGTGTTTGAAAAGGTGCTGGTGCTGCTGCCAATTTGGTCTTCCACCAGTTAACTTTTATTAAATATTTCTAAATGCGTTTGGTCGGTTAAGCTTTGCGTTCTGAGGAGACCTAGATAGTCACAGGCCGTTTGTTTACTTGGCTTCGATGGTTTTTGGAAGCAAACCAGAAAAACATAGATAAACAGGCACGTCAGAGATCTTTAGGGTAAGAACCACTTCGTGCACTTATTTCTGAGTAATCCCCTACATGCTCCCACTTTTCTCCTTTTGCTATAATAAGGGCCAAAATAATTGTTGGGGAGGGATCATGTTCAATTAACTGAAGAGTTACTTTGAACAGCAATAAGTGTTTATTAGTTTTCCTGTAGTACATTGGCCTCATCTTTGCACAGGTGGCGCACACCTTATGCCTTGAGATCAGCCTTTTAATGAGCTTAAGTTATATCAGTAAAATGTTTACGTCAGTAAAGTTTTTGCTAATGTTTTCACTTGGAGCGTTGGGATAATTTTTAGACACTTTTAGCACTACAGCATTTATTTTTTCCTTGTTGTGTCAGAGAAAAGTCATTTGAGATTTTCTCTTTTTTTTTTCCCTATACCAGAATGGGTAATGAATAGATTTAGATAGTTTCACATAGTCTTAATGTGAAGAATTTTAGTATTGTTATTTATTTTAATATTGTTGTAGAGAGACAAATGAGTGTCACACTCAAGGATTCTCAGCCTCAGGTGTTTTACTGTGTTTTTATAATTCTCATGTATGTTACAAGAAATCTTCAAGTTATGCCATGAAGGTATGGGGTTTGTCAGATTATTTTAAGGAACTTCAATGTATTTTGATAAAGTCTCTCAGCACCTAGAAAGGCTCAGGATTTAGTCAGCTCTATTGTGGGGTAGTTTGCATAACAGCAGTTTTTGGTGAATGCCTATATCAAGAGGGCAGAAATCCATGCCCTGTAAAATTTTTCCTCTTTTCCCCCAGTGGCAAGAGCTGTACAGTACAGCTTGGAAGTTTCTTTGGAAGAAAATAGTGACACTCCCCTGCCCATGTTTTTGAGGGTTTTTTTGCTTGAAGCTTTCTGGGGAATTACTGAAAAGGAAAGTTTCTTTAAACAGGAAATCTTAATATATTTTGTACTCTGTACATGCAGTCCTACCCCATCTCCTGTTTATCTCAACTAGCATTCAGGTGCAGTATGCCTTCCTCTCACATTCCTGTGTGTCCCAAGAAATTTGAATTTTAGAGTCTGAGAGTATTGGAGTAGTGAATCAGCTGATTTGGAAATCCTGCTCTCCCAGTTTCTCCTCATGTTTTTTCTAAATATGCTTCAATCCTTTAATTATTATTATCTGAATCATTTTTTGATGTATGCTGAGCAGTGAATGCTAAACTGAAGAGCAGTGTTTTTAAACAAGTTATTATATAGGATAGGGTAGAATTTAGGATTGAACAGTAGGAGGCTGCAGTTGTAACATGCAGCAGCCTTTGGTAATTGATAAACTCTTACTGATACATAAATGACACAAAAAATTGTCACATTTGGCTTTGAAACAAACATAGGAGTTGGTGAAGGCCAATTTGCCATGTTTTCCAGAAATGGATGGTGTAGGATACAAATGTCAGCAGATGAAGTGTACAAAAGTCGCGTGTCTGTCATGCAGCTAATGAGTTGGAAGCTATTTGAATTTCCTTAAACCAGAAGCTGAGTTTTTAAAGGATTTGCCTGTGGGATCAAAGAATCTGAATGCTTGAAATGTTTGCATAGATTCAGTGTTCTTGTGCAAATGAGAACAGAGCAATGAAGGTCTGGAAGCTGTGCAGTGGTCCAGTGTGCTTAGCTATGTTCCAGTGTGTTCAGCCTATGTCCTTCAAGTCTATTCCACTCAATGGCATACAAGGCATACAAAGAAATGATATTCTGGACATTCTGGCAAACTTGGGAGATCAGCATGCAGCTTTGGGAGTGAGCTGGGATGGTTGTGAACATCCCACTTTCAGTTTTGTTCTTGCATTTGATGGTCAAGAGAAGCAGGAAGAAGATTAGACTAAACAGACTAAACTTCCGATTTCTTCTTAGAGGTGTAAGAAGATGTTGAAGTAGGGAAACAAGAGCATTTGCCTTGTGTGGCTTAATTGCTGTGGTTTAGAGCTTTGTAATATTTCACACTATTTTACCTTGTAGGTGTAAATATTCTGGCAGCTTGTGGCAATTTTCAGTTCTCTAATATCCAGACAATTCTATGTTTTTTGCAGCAGGAAGTCATTTTTAGACTGGTTGGAAAGTTTCTGTGCCAAATACACTGGGTTTAGTTGTATTGTATGCTCCTTCTGATTAAAAAGTGGCATATCCCTTTTATGTAAACTTTCTCTTAATAAATGCAGGTTTTTGCTTTTTTTTTTTTTTTAAGGAGGCAAAGCAGGAGAGCAGTAATATCTAATATATGTGTTTTTTTGACATTTAAGTCAGGGAGCTGAGCTACATTGTGGTAATGCCACATATGCTTCTTGAAGGGCAATTGGAATTGTGAATGTACTTCAACATAAATTAGTGGTTCTTTGCAGGAGTCTGAAAAAGTCAAGTCAATATATATAAAAAGTACACAAACAACACTACAAAACTTGTATTGTTCTTATCCTGACTGCTGCATTGGTGTAGTCTTGTTGAAGTCAAACAGGGCAACTATAAAATGTGGAAAAGTAATTAAAATGTAGGTAGTTACCAAGCATGTTCAGAAATCTGTCTCTTTATTCCTATTGTCTTGTCATTTATGCTGCTTTCATTATACAGAAGAAAAATATAGTGATATGTTTTGTAATAAACAGTACACTGGAAATACACTGAGAGAAAATAATTTCTTGGAAGACAACATACAAGGTTGCTTGACTTTCCTTGACCTATTATTTAAAACTTAAGGCCATGCCATTGTCAATTTAAAAAAAGGTAAAGAAAATTTCCTTCCATGTTCTTTTTGTGCTCCCTGTATGCAGAAGTGAGAATTTGTGGGAGGTATTTCTATATTCTTTTGGTTTATTTTCTGTGTGCACTTTTTTCTGCCTTTGAAAGTGTTCTGATCTTCCTGCAATATCCTGACAGACTGAGCACTTCTTGATCCAGAAGAGGAACCATTACTGGTTTTTTTAGGTTTTTCAGAGTTCCTGAGTTTCTTGTTTTTCTTTTCTCCTCCTTTGTTGCATTGGCTCTCTGATTTTTCTGGGCTCTCTGCTGTTGGCCGTTTTATCAGGAATAAATCTATACTGCTAATGGTGGTTTTTTGTTTTTTTTTTTTAATGACACATCATTGCATCAGAATGGAAATTGAGTGAAACTCAGTGTGTCCCTTGCTAACATGTCAGATGCATCATATATTGGCAATATTATGTCTTTTTCTTAAAAGCAGGTTGGCTTTTCTTCATCTTTTACTTTTGGCAGTCGAATGTTTGGAGTTTTCCGTATCCAGAAGCAAACTTGGATTCTGGAATAGTGCTATAAATTGTACTCTTATTTTTGCTTATTTTCATTAGTTGAACTTAAACTGAGATATTGTGTTGGCATTTTTCCACCGATGTTTATCCTTTTAATGAATTTTTATATTTATCTTCATCCCAGTTTTGCTAAGCTGAATAAGGAGGATTAATCTTTCTTTTATAAGCAGGCTTTTTAGTCATATCAGTAGGTTCCCTCTGTAGTTCTTCTAATTCAAACTTCTTTTTCTTGAAAAAAGGAATTCAGAATTACGTGTGGTATTCCAGACAAGCTGTTGCTCATGTGCAACATTGCTCATATTCCCTATCTTTATTGAAAAGGAATCCTCAATGTGCATTTGCCTCTTTGTGTGTCACTCTTTTATTTTTCTTTTGCTCCCACAGACCTCCATCAGTTTATAGTTTACCACAGAAAGACTATAGTCCCAAAAAACATGCCCTGACTACATCAAAGTAGACTGTATTGGTCCCTTCATGCAGGAGTCTTGATTTCATATGACTTATTTTCATGTGGCTTCTAGTACACTGTTTTTCAGGACTGGTCACTTGTCTGTGTTACATTTTGTCCCACTTTTGTTGCAATGCTTTTCACTTCTGTCTCATCCAAATCTACCTATTCTTTTCTGGCAGCATTGTTTTTAAAAAAATCAACATATTTCTTTGGAGGAACTAGTAGTTCTTTCCTATGTTTGCAATACCATACTGTACTCTTGTAGTCTTGTAGAAAGATTCTTTCTCATTTTAAGATTACCTCTCATCACATTTATTTAAACCCAGATGATATATGAAGATTGCATCTTGTTTGAGTTTCCTTTTTCCCAAAGAAAATGACTGATTAATTTTCTAAAAACTAGATTAGTTCAGCATGCCCTAAAACTATGAAGGCTTACTGCATTTTTATCCTGCTTTACTGTTTAGTACCACTGAATTCAGACCACTGAGCCTGATAATTCTTTTCTTCTTTGTTAATTACTGCGTTTTTTCCTCTCTAATCATATGATAGCACATTTGATTTATTGAAATGCTCTTTGTGTATTTTTGCAACATCTACTTTTTTTTTGTGTAAACTTTTTCAGTTCTCCATTTTCAATCTTTCAATGTATTAGTTTCCTCAACTTGGGCTTTTACCTTGCAAGGTGCTAATATATCTGCATTCCCATTAACTAGCCTTTACTCCTGTGTTTAGTGGAATTATTTGTATTGTAAACCAAGGCATATTTTATCATCACCGACACTTCCAAAGAGTGGTTTCACTTCCATGTTTTCTTTTTTTTTTTTTCCAAGTATTATTATTTATAAATCATAGATGGTTTCACTACTCCTTTGCAATGTAGGAAATGGTTTTGTGGCTAGAAAAAGAGGTAGTACAAGTGATCGTCTTTTGCAAAGTAGAAGTAGTAATGTGAGGTATTTCTTCAGTTCCTGAGCAACAAATACTCTCCAATAAGATGACTGATTTCCATTTGCAAAAAACTGTTGAAATAGGGTGCAAGATCCCATCAGTTTTGGGCCCTAACTGACCCAGCACCCAAATATAATTTCCTTAGATGAGTTCCTAGAATTAGGGAAAGTGATGAAGGCATTTAACACACCATGTTAGGGAATTTCTATTATAGCATACGCAAATTAACTCTCAAATAATATTCTTAAGTGTGACTTATATTCAGGAACTTTTCCCCTGCAAGAGTACAGGTTAAAATGTTGCTTATATCAGTGGTAAAGAAAATATTTTTTAGAGATAGTTCTGTAAAGTCAGGATAACTTTCAAAGAAAGCAGCAGTGTAAGTGGAGGATTATTTTTGCTCATTTCTCTTCAGACAACTAAAAACTATTGGTTATGTGTGTGTAGTTTCATTAGGTGGACATAACAAAGTGCTTTCTTATGAAAACCTGAGGAGACATTTGCACTACTTCATATTTGTAAAAAGACAGATGGAATAAACCAGCATCAAAGTGACATTTTGAAAAAAGACAGATGGAATAAGCCAGCATCAAAGTGCTGGGCAGAAGTGCGGTGTTCAACAATAGCAAAGAGGTGTCTGTAGTACTTCTTCCAAATTGTGCAGCTTCCTCAGCTTGCTTACATTTTTTAATAAGTGTTTACCAGAAACATAGGAGGGAGCAAATGTGGGATATGGTCTCTATTCTGATTTCTTTACTGCCCTCAACCCTGCATATCAGCTGGGCGACCATCTGGAATCACTTGTGCTATTTTCCTAGATCTGTGGACACACAGCAGTGTCATTGATTTGTACTGGGTTAATGTTTGCAGAGTGGCTGTTGTTATGAAAGGAATTTTAGGACAGCAGGTGGGTGGGTAGAATTTCTCTTCCAAAGTTTTCTTTTAGACAGAAGAGATGAAGCTTGGGGTAAAGAAATAGAAGTTGTATCTGAACATACCAGATTTGTTTTGCAAATAAGTACTTCCATTTCTTTAACTCTTTAATTTCCTTTCCATAGAGAAAAACACATGCAGCAAGCTGGATATCAGTATACCAGCTATGGGAGCTCCTGGTTAACTATATCTACAATATATGTCTGAAGTAGATTATCTAGGTGATATTGGTAGTGATATTGGGAACTGTCAATCTTCTGTGAAGGACAGGTTGAAGGCCAGGTATTTAGTGCATACTGATTAGACTGATCCCTGAGCCTTCTCTCCTCTGGCCTAAACAACCCCAGTTCTCTCAGCCTGTCCTTGTATGACAAGTGCTTCAATCCCTCAGTCATCTCTGTGACCCTTTGCAGGACTCACTTCAGTCTGTCCTACTGAACCCAGCACTCCAGATGTGTCCCAGCAGTGCCAAGTGGAGGGGCAGGATCACCTGCCTCAGCCTTCTGGGAATGCTTTTAAATTAAGTCCAGGGTGCTGTTGGCCACCTTTGCTGCAAGGGCACGCTGCTGGCTCATGTCCAGCTTGTCCACCAGCACCCTCAGGGCTATTTGTGCAAAGCTGCTTTCCAGCAGGTTGGCCTCCACATAGTACTGGAGGTGCTAAGGTGCAGGGTTTGCATTTCCCATGGGTGAACTTCTTAGGTTTCCTGTTTTCAAAACATACTGCTCATCAACACTGCATGTTGTCTGTCATCATGTTCTCTTTGGAAGAGTGTTTATGCTAACATAAAGACTAATAAGTAAAGGGGAATTTAAAAATTCTGCTGCTGACTCAAAATATCGCCACTTGTGTTTTTTCAGACGCTCCTATTGCAAAATCTGCAGTTGAAAAGAAACATTTTTTATAAGAAGAGAATGGGTAAGTTCACAACTTCAAGAGTGTTTCTTGTTTTTGTATTATTTGAAGCATTTTCTCAGTAGAGAGGTGGATTATAAGGCTTTAAATGTTGATCTTGTCACTTCTTGTAGCCTCAAACTTCCTATAGATGCTTTAAACAACTTCCTATAGATGTTTTGTAGGAGCCTCAAACTTCCTATAGATGTTTTGTATGAGAATTTTCTCAAGTGACTGTTTACTGGAAGATTTGTTCAGAGTGCATCTATTCTAACAAAAAATTTCACTTGCCTAACATGCATAGTCCTGAAAATGTACATACTAAAATAGAAATGCCTCTAGGCTTTTATAGCACTAAATGTTTATATAGTGGCCAAGAAAATTTCACTGTGTACTTATTTTTAAATAATTCTTTGTTTGTTAACTAGAGTCAGCCTGTTGAATTCTGGCTCAGAGATCATAATACAGACTGATTTCTGATAAATTAATGTAGTCATATCACATTGTGTGTGATATGACTACATTTCTGAAACTGTTGTTTCTGCCTCAACAAATGACTGGTAAATGAAACAGGATTGGATGGATTCTGGTTTTGTCTATACTTTCTCTGACTGTATTATAGCATGTTTGGCACTGGTAGAACTTTATTAAAATTTGTAATAGCTACATAATACAATTTTAACTTCAAGTTCACAAAGCAGCTTGACTGGGGGAATGTTTTATTTGCTACACAGGCAACAGTAATTCAGCTTTTAAAAGTAACACTGTCAGGATACAATAAAAGAAGGCGCAAAAAGGGAAGGGGGATAAAGCCTTCAGAAGAAACAAAGTAGAGAGCAGGTATTCAGCAAAACAGAAGGGAAACAGGAAGCACAGTCCAACTGCTGTGGGGAGAATTTTTCAAATCTCCCTAGGTTTAGTGCTTTGGCACTTTCCATGCTTTCTGCCAAAGGCCACAGCACAGGTATGCACTGATGCTACATGGTTCTGGGTCTGGTTAGGCAGTCAGGGAGAATGAGTCTTACTTCATGTCATTTCTTCAGTGCAGGAATATTGACTGCTTTTGTTCTTACCAGTGCTTCAGAAGGCATTTTTTCCTTGCTGTCTGTATTTTTCAGTATCAGATATGTGTTTGGTTAATTTTTAGCAAGTATTAGTATGATAAACATGACTGTAGATTTAATGGAAGGAAGCAGTAGCACATTCAATTGACTTGAGAATGTCTAAAGGAAAATTTAATTCCTATGTAGATTTTTAAAATCATGTCAGAATTTGATGATGGAGAGATGTTAATTAAAAAATTCCAAGTTTTGCAAAATTACTTTAAAACAGATTGCTGGTTACTTCAGAAAAATAATCTTCAAATATGCAAAATGCTTCTTTCTCATTTCTGGTTGTATTGGGCTCTTCAGTCTGCAAACATAGTCATAGAAAAAAACTGCAACTTGCATTTTTAGTAATGTGAATCAGTATATTGTGTTCTGAAACCATTGTCTTTTTTTCCATTACAGATGGAGAAGAGAAGACATACGGTGGGTGTGAGGGCCCAGATGCTATGTATGTGAAGTTAATATCCTCTGATGGCCATGAGTTCATTGTAAAAAGAGAGCATGCATTAACATCAGGAACAATAAAAGCTATGTTGAGTGGACCAGGTAGGTACAGAAGACTTACTACCTTTACCTTCTTTGTTTTCACTTTTGGACAGTTTGAATTTTTATCATGCAGTAGGTGAAAGTTAGAAAAAATGTTAACTTTTCCACATCCTGCCTAGTTTCCCGCAGAACAGCCCATTTCTGTTGGGGTATTGTGGTACCAGACTTAAAATTGGACTCTGCTATCTGGACGGTTAGGGGTCTTACTCTGTCCTACATTGCTATTAGTTTCCCATGTTATGAGAACTTGAGGGTATTATATGAAACATGGAGCTGCCAAGTTCAAAATTAATGAGAGTTGGTAGTTCTTTATTTCCACATCCATGGCAGAACTTCTGGTATTCTATGTGGAGTTAATTTTCTTCATAGCAGGTCACATGGTTCTGTGCTTTATATTTGTGTCTAAAACAGAGCCAATAACACACCTGTTTTAGCTGTTACTGAAAGATACACACTGTTCAAGCCTCCTCTGTTTCTCATTCTTTCCCCACTCAATAACCAGACAGGAGGGTGTGCAAGAGGCTGGGAGGGAACACAACCAACATGACCTGAACAAACTACTGAAGGAGATATTACATTCCATATGTCCTGCTCCAGAATAAAAAAGGGAGAGGTGTAAAAAAGGGAAGTGAGCAATCTTTTGCTTGAGAACTGTCTGGTCATCAGTCTGCCCATGGGAGGTGGTGATTACCATTGCATCACTTGTTTTGTTTCCTTTCTCTTCTCTCAGCCTACAAGTTTTCTTGCTTTTACTGTTCCTTTCCTCTTCCCTTGTCCACCCACAGCAGGGGTAAATGAGCAAGAGGCTGTGTGGTGCTTTGCTGCCTACTGGGGTTAAGGCCCCATGTTAACAGCATCCTATGGCAAGGAGTTCCTGAGCTTAATGATGAAAGTTGGCTTGAGGTGAGGGTAGATAAACTTACAGGAGGGAAGGACCTCACGTGGTGCTGAATATATGAGACTATATCTGGTTTAAGAAGTGTCTGAACTAATTTTTGAAGACCAAAAGGGTGGGGGAGAGAAGAGGGAGAAGTTAACACAAGTGCTTTCTCTCTTCTATACTTTCATCCTGTGTGTTTTCCTTTGGCCACTTTGGTGGTGGGGCAGTAGGCTACATGGAGCTTGGAGCTGAATATGGTCTTTCTTATGTTCTCGTTTAGATTCTGGTGAGACTGAAGAGATCTATTGGTTTAATATATTTTTTAATTACTTAGTAATACTTGGACAAACTGAGCAATTAAAATTCTTGGTGTCAATTAATTGTTGCATTTGAAAATATGTAATAAATGTTTGTGTCCATGTCAGCCTCCCAGACATCTAAGAGGAAGAATAGTTACAAGACTTGCTCTGAATTCATTCAGTGTGAAGGAATAAAAGACGAAGTTGCCTACTTAGAGGGCTAGAAACTGACTCTCTATAGGACTCAGCAGTCCAGAATATTTTATATAAGTACTAACAAGACAAATGGGTCACAAGGAAAAGTACTGTTGCTGTCTAGTTCAGTAGGTCATAGTTTCACCGATGTGTAAGTCTTTTGTTTCAGTGCTGTAGCTTGGCCAATATGCCAACATTTCATCTTTTGCTTCCAATTGTTCCTGTACTAAAATTCAAGCCATATTGGCTTCAATGCATGCAGATATTTCTACAGAAATCTGTGTAGACATTAGTAAATAGTTCTGCTTTGTAGCTAGAAGGAGATGCCCACAGAAATAGTGAGAACTAAACATTGCTAGTCTCCCATAAACATGGAGTTAATCTTAGTATTTTTTATTGCTTTTCAGTTTAATGAAAGTCCAAGGATGTGAGAGGAAGAGAGACAAAAATAATAGAAATCCTGTGGGATTAACTACAGGATCCTAACTTTTGTATCATCCAGGTTTCATGGTTATAGGCACTATAGAAAGCAAATTTCAAATGTACTTGTGTTTTGAGATTTGAATTCTGAATATATTCTTTTGTATCTAATAGGGATAAACTTGCACTGCATATAAACTTCCCTCCAGTGCAACTAGAATTTCCCTGTCCCTGCTGTCTATCTGTTTTCACTGTTTATCAAGTTAATGTGTCTTTGAGGTCTCAACTCTCTTGTCAAATCTACCTGAAACTGAGGAATTCAAAGCTTCTGGGTCATAGAAGGGACTACTGATAAACACATATATGTGTGCAGATATGAAACATCTAGAAACCTATTTTTTTCCCCTTTCATAAGACAGCCAGAAATTTGGATTGATGCCTCTTAGAGCCTAGCACACAGCTAAGTACCTATCAGATGTATTGGAGTACATCTAAATTTCTGGTGTAGTTGTTCAGAATAATGTTGATAGGCTGCAGCCTAAATAAACATTTCATAATGCTGAGTGTCTTAATATTCTTGAGGGCTCTGAATGTGGCACATCCTGCTTTACAATGGAGACTCTAATACCTGGGAAGATGAGACTTAGGCAGATCTATTTAGAATGCATTGTATTAATATGGTAAGTTGTTTCATTTTGCAGTGAATTGAGATTTTGACTTCTGGTTTGGTGTTCTTGTGTGTTGTTTTTTTCTTTCTACAGGTCAGTTTGCAGAAAATGAAACAAATGAGGTCAATTTTAGAGAGATCCCATCCCATGTCCTATCCAAAGTATGCATGTATTTCACCTACAAGGTCCGCTATACTAACAGCTCTACGGAGATTCCTGAATTCCCAATTGCACCTGAAATTGCACTGGAACTTCTGATGGCTGCAAACTTCTTAGATTGTTAAATAAAATAAATTATAATAAAAAATGTAAAACTTTTTTCAGTATTTAATACATGTAGTTCAGTTAGTAACTTTTTTCAGATAGCATGTTGCGTGTGTGCTGTTGAGAACTGTAAAGTTCACTGCAGAGGCAATTGCCTTCAGTTCTTTTGCATATAGCAATCATTCAGTTGGAGTTTGTTTTGCTGCTTACACAAATAAGGACCTTTTCACAAACTGAGACAAATAAACAAATATGCCAATTAGTAGATGGCTATGCCTTATCCTTTAGGTGTGGTAGAACTTTCTTTTAATACAATGGCTGTAGCAAATACTGGAGTTTAGTCTAATACTCTCTAAAAGATAATTATAGTTACATTTGAGTAGCTCTTAAGGGTTTCTAGCTTTCTCTTATTTTTAAAGTTTCTAAACATCTGAACTTAATCTCCTTTGTAAGATAGCTGTCCTGTAGCATAGTTACACTAACTAGATTAGAAGTGCCCTCTTTGTATACTGTCAGTGATATTCCATTTAGGTTGAAAGTGGAGTATGTAGGAGAATGCTTAAGGCTTTTAATTTAAGTCATAGTTTAGACATGTGCAAAGGTGTACTTGATAACATTTTGCTTCTATAACCTCAATTTACCCCATGAGTAATTTCAAATATTCCAGTTACTTGTCTGTACAGTAAGACTGTGATCCTACTGACAGTGACTTTTAAGGGGCAAAATAACTCTTAAAATCTGTGTATATTATCTTCTATATAACATATATGTTTTATCTTAATATACTGTCACTTGACCTGATAAAGATTTTATATGGCTTCAGTTATGGTTTATTTCCATTGTTCTGATTGTTCATGTAAAGTCTGTATTTAATCTCTAGAGTAGTAGAGTAATTTAGTAGTCATTTAAATTTTGTAACATAACAACTGAAAAGATAGAAGTTGTCCTACCTTTTACCTCTTCCTCAACCTCTCCCTTGTACCCATAGCAAAAGACTCTGAAATGTGGAGGTCTTTTATATTTGAAGGAAAGGACATTAAGCAGATGTTTTAGGAGCTGTTTTATAAATTTCATAGGTATTTCCAGTGTTTTTAAAAATGTTTTAGGGGAAAAGGATTGGCAAGCCACTGACATAATACTAGAGTGGAATATGTTATCTCTTGGTAGATCCTGCTGGCAGTTGCCTGTAGTATCAGTTCTTTGTTCAAAACAAGTTTCCATAAAGAAAACAAACAACTTAAGACAAAAACTTGCTTTTTGTTCAGCTGCAGCCTGAAGAACCCTTCTGCTAAAATCATCTGTAAATGAGAATACAACTAATGCATCATGAGAAATGATGCAAGAACAATGTAATTAGCATTTCCATCAGCTGCCACTGCTTCAGCTTTGTTTTGATCAAGAAGTGATTGTGGTCTATCATGGAAAAATCCCATCAACTGATGGTGGAACCTCTTTCTGTTTTAACTCACAGTTAATTTAGAGGGCTGAAACTCTCCTCTAAAGCTGTTTGTCAACATAAATACAACTTGGAAGAGATTTTCCTGGGTGAAAACTAATAGTTTAGATAGACTATGCAGTCTGCTCGTGGAGGAGGTCAGTTCTGACAAATGAAATTTTATTCTGGGCTTAAACAATGCTGACATTTGTCAGTGTGTTGGTAGATTAGCTGACATTGATTCACGTCACATACTTTGGCACAATTTAATGTGTTTAATGTGGGGATGTTTGTGACTAGATTGGCTTTGCACGGTAAAGCTGAAGTGCATTGTAGGGTGATTGTCTGAAATTCCATGTGTAAGCACTCTGGTCAGTGCTGTTAGTAACTCATTTTCAAGAGCACTAGAATGATAAACCAGAGATACCCTGTTATGCTGCTTTTGTTAGAGCCGCTATGAATACCCTAAAAGGTCAAGGAATACCAACATGGATATTTTAGTCACAACTACATATCAGTCTGAGTGAGTCTTAAGTTCACTAGCCATTTTTAACAGTCTTGAGGCTAACGACTTGAGGCTAAAAATTATTTAGTTTTAAACTAAGGCAAAAAGGATGCCATTTTTTAAAACAGTGGGCTTTTTCTTCTTTTTTTTTTCTCTTCCCCTTTTTAAGCATTCTAGAACAATTTCCTTGATTTTGTTAAAATACATTTGCATTTGAAGATTCTGTACTTTAGCAGTAAGGTAAAATAGCTGGTTTAGCTCTGAATAATAATTTTGTTGGTTTTCTTTAAGCTTAATGTATTATACAGTAGCTTTGAACACTCAGGAATTGCAGTAGTGTCCTAGAGTGCACTATTTGCAAAACCACCGTCTGTTAAAATGAACCAGATTTCTAAGGGGGAGGGGGGCAGGGAGAATTAGTGCAATTTCCATGGTAGTTAAATGGGTATGCTATTATCAGACAATTGGAAACTTACCACGCTTAACCCCTGAGTTCTAAATAAATTTCAAAGTTGAAAATTTTTAAACCTGTGTTTCTGTTGATTTATGACATCTTAGAGGAAGTGTTCATATGCAGAATCATCATTTTCCTGGCTCTACTATATGGTGAGCAAAGTGCTAATGTAATTAGTATTTGGATAATGGGTTGTGAAGCTGCATGTAAAAAATAAAAGGTGATGGGTTTTTTCATAGCTCTGAAGAGTTTCACAGAGTTGAACTGTTAAGATATCTTTGTGCTGCTCTGAATTACAAGCATCCAGAATTCTCAGCACCAAGTACTAAAAAGGCATGGTATTCCTGAGCAGGCTTGAAGAGGATACTTTCAAGGATACTTCAAGGATATCCTGCTGGGGATATTTTGAAAACTTCAACTGCCCTGGGTTTCCACATTTGTGGTACTTCTTTTGCTTAGAAAGGTAGCCCTGTATTTGAGGTTCAAATTTTAAGCTGAACTGCTGATTTAGTCATAATAACTCCCAGATTGTTTATAAACAATGAGAAGAGTCATGCTGAGTTATGGTTTGTCATCATTTGAGGGTGTATAAGCTGCTGAAGAAGTCTCTGATGGTCTCCAACATGAAAAAATCTGTGCATCTAGAATGACCAGAACTCGCTCCCACAAGATACGAAATTCCTTTTTGGTTTTGAACTCAAAGAAAGGATGCGTCACCATCAGGATTCTCTGTGCCATTATATTCAACGGATGTCGAACATGGTATCTAAAAGGCATTTCTCAACTAATGGTAGGAAGTTTGGAAAATCAGTTTCTTCTGTCTGTGTTTTATTACTATCTATTTTATTTCACAGGCCTAAATTGCAGTAGTGACTGTTTGGTTTTTTACCCCTTTCTTCTTATTACTTTGCCCATTGGAAGAGTGCTCCCAAAACTTGCCTAAATCTTTTTTTTTATGTGATGAAGTGGACAAGGAATGTCATAAGGCAGGAAAGTTAACTTCTCAGTCCATGTTTTGTATTCCTAGTTTAATTTTGCCTGGTCTCAAATATTGCAATGTAATTTAAGGGAGTAACAGTTACTGCAGAGTAAACAAAAGCACAAGGAGAAGTAGCACTGTTCCTACCTAAAAACTAAGGGTGGAAGCTGTGGTATAAACTTAATTTCAATACCTGAGTAAGACAAAAAGAGCAGGGCTAAGAGAAAAATGGCAAAAACTTATTAAAGATTGAGTGGATTTGGAAAATAAACTATGATGCTTGTTTTTAAAGACAGACTAAAGCTTTAGGAAAAAAAAGGCTTTAGGGATTTTTTCCCATAGAGACAAGTTGAACTTTTGAAGGCTTTTGACAAATCATGAACTTCATTGGAGCTGAATTTCTTTTTAAATGTAGCTTATTAGATGGCAATTTTATGGGAAGATAACCAATGCTGTGAACTGTAGGTGCGGCTCAGTGTTTGGATGAGCTAGGAAAGAGGACAGAGTAGATTCTGTGGTTAGTATTAGTCACCTGTGAAGCTTGAGTGTCATCACTAAGGCAGCACAGAGAAAAAAGAAGAGGGAGTTTTTATCGAGTTTTAACAAGTGTTATGTGTAATGAAATAAAGCTTTGCATATGCTGCATCTGGAATGTAGGTTGTGCAATTTCTCCTCTATGGGAGAAAGGTCACTGAGATTAAAAAAAAAAAAAACAACAAAACAACAACAAAAAAAAATCTGTCTCTCTGTCATTACCATGTTATTGTTTTACGTTTACAGAATACAGGGTTTTCTTCTCAGGCTAAATGGGAGGAGATCAGAGTTGCGAGATCACGATTGTTCTTTGACAAATAGAGTACCTCAACATTTTATCCTTTTGAACTTTTTTAATCAGACAGTTTTCAAGATGTGAGTCATGTAATGTTTTGTTCTCACATATTGAGGGGAGAATTGGAAAATTATATTAAAATTGCCCCTGAAATATGTACTGCCTTTTAGATCAGTGAAAGTAACCACATGAGAGCCTCTAAATAAATTAAAATTTACAGTTTAGTGCTAAAGTTGCTAGTTTTCAGGATAGTTTTGTGGGATTAGTTTTTTGTGAATACATGAATGGATTAATGCAATTCTGTATTTATTTGTAGTTAATTTCTTTCTTCAACCAGAAGTTACTTTGAAGGTAAAAAAACAAATACTGTTAATTCCATTGTTTCATATTGAAAACTGCCTTTTCAGGTGAGAATTCATAGCTAAGGCTTTTCTTCCCATGGAAAAAAATACTACTGGTATCCTATTTACACAAAAAAAAAATGTATCTACCAAATCACCACTACACAAACTATAAATAATACATAAACTATCTTATGTTGCTTTGAATTCTTATTACTCTGTCTAGCAAAACAATGGGATGCCTGTTATGCAGATTAAAAAGTTGTCAATTTTAGCTGGTATCAACAAGCTTAAAAAATATCTAGAATTTGAATGCATTTGGCACAAAGGATTTATTTTCTCTTTCTATCCAGGGAAAAGCTTCTTGCATTACCATACTAAGCTGACATATAATGTTTTTCAGAAGTGACACTCCATTTGAGTCAGAATTATTTGTAGTTTGCTACAAATGAAACATGAAAATGATATATCAATATTTAACATTTAAGCTGCTTTCACAGTTGTCAT